GGGAGAGGATCTAAGTAGCAAAAGCTATCACGGTCGCATTTAAATGCCCCTGTGTCATCATTTAGATGCCCCTGTGAATTATGATAGGTGCAGCCTAAATTACAATTTAGATCAGGGGTCTTCAAGCTTGGCAACTTTAAGACTTCTTCAACCAGCCAGGGAATTCTGGGAGTTGAAGTCCACAGGTCTTAAAGTTGTCAAGATGTCAAATTTGAAGACCCCTGATTTAGATGATCTGCTTTCTCCCCTTTTTTTCATAGTTGCAAGACGTTGGGAGGAGAATTGACTGCTAGAGACATTGAACCATGTAATCATGATAGATGTAGAGATGCTTCCTTGGATGAGATGGATCAATTTTAATCGTGCCATTTCCAGCTGAAAGCTGGTGCACGAAGAATACAAGACCTGAATAGTTTAGTTCTGAATCTCATGAGGTGTTTGAGATGCTGCTTAGAGCACACATTGAAGGAGAATCAACAGTCTACATCTGTGTTTGGTTTTTACTTACCGTGAGCAGATTCATCCCTTGAAAGAGCAAAATTCCAGCTAGATTGCTTATCGTTCTGAAATCCACAAGAGTACAGGGAAGAGCAACAAAGATGATTAGGGGACTGGAGGCTAAAACATACAAGGAACGGTTGCTGGAATTGGGTATGTCTAATTTAATGAAGAGAAGGACGAGGGGAACATGATAACAGTCTTCCAGTATCTCAGGGGCTGCCACAAAGAAGAGGAAGTCAAGATATTCTCCAAAGCGTCTGAAGGCAGGACAAGAAGCAACAGGTGAAAACTCATCAAGGAGAGAAGCAACCTAGAACTCAAGGAGAAACTTCCTGACAGTTAGAACAATTAACCAGTGGAACAACCTGCCTCCAGAAGCGGTGAATGCTCCAACACTGGAAGTTTTTAAGAAGAAACTGGACAGCCATTTGTCCGAAATGGTATAGGGTTTCCTGCCTGAGCAGGGGGTTGGACTAGATAACCTCCAAGGTCCCTTCCAACTTTATCATGATGATGATGATGATGATGATGATGATGATGATGATGATGATGATGATGATGATGTCCACACTGGATCTCAAGGGCTCATCATGAATAGAACTGACAAATGAAGGCAAATATACACATCCTAGGACAGGGGTAGGCAACCTTGGCTCTTTTATGACTTGTGGACTTCAACTCCCAGAATTCCTGAGCCAGCATGGTTGGCTCAGGAATTCTGGGAGCTGAAGTCCACGAGTCATAAAAGAGCCAAGGTTGCCTATCCCTGTCCTAGGATAATGTTACAGGATCCAATCTGGATCAATCACCGGGACCAAAAGTTTCCTCTTCCGAGCTTTTGGACTTGTGCTGAAGCCCATCCTCGGGAACCTTTTCTGTGTTTCTGCTGAGAGAGAAGTCCCCCAAAGCTCAGAAGACTGAATCCTGGATAGAACTGGATCCTGAATAGAGCTGATTTGAGGTGGAGGAAGAGAACAATGAGGAGGAATCATTAGTGAATTAATTAATGAGGAACTCCGAGAAGAGCAACAGATGATTAGGTGTCTAGAGGTTTAAACACACAATGAACGGTTGCAGGAACTGGATGTGTCTACTCTAACGAAGAGAAGGACTAGGGGTGACAAGATAGCAGTCTTCCAATATTTGAGGGGCTGCCACAAAGAAGAGGGGGTCACCCTACTCTCCAAAGCACCCGAAGGTAGTGCAAGAAGTAACAGATGGAAACTTACCAAAGAGAGATCCAGCCTAGAACTAAGGAGAAATTTCCCCGACAGTGAGAACAATTAATCAGTGGAAGGGCTTACCCCCAGAAGTTGTGTGTGCTCCAATGGTGGAGATTTTTAAGAAGAGATTGGAGAGCCATTTGTACAGAATGGTAGAGGGTCTCCTGCTTGAGCAGGATGCCTCCAGTGTTCCTTCCAACTCTGTCACTGTGCCATTCCGCATTTTGGCTGTTTGTCTTCCTTCAGATTTCTGCCTTGGGGCGGAGAGGAAAACCTTCAGCTTTAGTTATTTGTGAGTGAGGAAACTAGTATTTCACAATTAGGGTCAGGACCACAATGCCCTTTCTTCAGTTAAAGCCTTCCTCTGAATGGGAACAGAAGGAGGCGTGACTCTGAATGAGCACACTGTAGCCTTCCTTTCCTGGCAGTGTGACATTGTGCCTCAAGTTCTTGTACACCCTCTGTAAAGAGGTTGCGCTGGATGCAACCCTTGACATGCCTTCTTGCTGGGTGGCCCACGGAGAGAGTGTGGAGAGGCCTAGCTGTCAACGTAGGTAGATAATAATGGGAGCTCAGCAAAAGCACGGGGTGAACTCTGAAAGAGGTGTGACTGTCTTTTCTATTCTTGCCCGTCAAGCAAAGGAAGAGATTCCATGGAATAAAACATCTGTCTTCTAAACCTCAATGGGGGTCTTCTCCTCTTGTTCGGGAAGGTTGAGCAAGGGGAAGGTACCTCACACAGACTGCTTGCAAAGGCTTTAGTTATGGGCCGTTTACAGTGGTGGGATTCAGCCGGTTCACACCACTTCGGCAGAACCGGTAGCTAATTTTTAGTTTTCCAGGCCCAGAATGGACCTCCAGAAGTGGCATCCACAGAGAGAACCGGTTGTTCACATATTTGAATCCCACCACTGGATGGATGGATGGATGGATGGATGGATGGATGGATGGATGGATGGATGGATGGATGGATAGATAGATAGATAGATAGATAGATAGATAGATAGATAGATAGATAGATAGATAGATAGATAGATAGATAGATAGATAGATAGATAGATAGATAGATAGATAGATAGATAGATAGATGTAGGTAGGTAGAGGGAGGGAGGGAGGGAGGGAGGTAGAGAGAGAGAGAGAGAGAGATTAGTAGATAGATTAGAAGATAGATAGATAGATAGATAGATAGATAGATAGATAGATAGATAGATAGATAGATAGATAGATAGATAGATAGATAGATAGATAGATAGAGGTAGGTAGGGAGAGAGAGAGAGAGAGAGATTAGTAGATAGATAGATTAGAAGATAGATTAGAAGACAGACAGACAGACAGACAGACAGACAGACAGACAGATAGATAGATAGATAGAAACAGTGGTGGGATTCAGCCAGTTCACATCACTTCAGCAGAACCGGTAGCTAATTTTTGGTTGCCCAGGTCTAGAATGGACTTCCGGAAGCGGCATCCACGCAGAGAACCGGTTGTTCACCACATATTTGAATCCCACCACTGGCCATTTAGCACTTTTCCTATATGCAACTGCTCAAGAAAAAAAAGGCCATAAAACCGAGGCTATCCACCCCAAAAGGTGCTTTTTCAGGAGGCAACTGGACTTTCTTGTTGTTTTTCTTTGAAGACGTTTCGCTTCTTCATCTTCGAAGAAAAAAACCCACAAGAAAGTCCTCCTGAAAAAGCACCTTTGGGACAACCATGACCTGGAGGACTGAGAATCTCCATAGACAAGTCTGGCCATCTCTTGTGTGATGGGACATTTGTTCCTACCTGGATATGCTCCACCCAAGACCCAGTCGCTGGTTCTTCGTACGGATGCTGGCAAACGTCAACACGTTGGCTGCTTACTAAAGGCCCTGGCAGCTGGAGCAGGTTTCAGTGAGGACCTGCGTGCAGCTATAGGAAGGAATTTTGCAGAATCAATTCTAGGGGTAGAACTGGAAGTGAATGGGATGACAGGCAAGCAAAACACGAGACCCCCCTGGGATATGTTAATGGTGGGCTCATTGTGATAGTTACATGCAAATGCAAATGATGCTAATGCCATTTTTAAAATATTAAAATTCAAAACCCATTAGGTGTTTTGTTGTTATTGTGGTTTCGAAGAGGGGTGCAA